TCAATATTGGATGTATACAAGGTCCCCGTTTTATCCAAAACGTCTGAATGCGATGAGTCGATGAATCAATACTGTATCTCTCTAATGCGAAAACAATCCGTCACACAGATACTATACAACATCCGCCGAGGGATTTCCAGGGGTGACTCTTAAGCCTGTTATTGTTCTGTTTAGCTTGAATCCCCTCTCTACTCTACTTAATTCATCTAAATTATGTAATCGCTGCTTAAAAAGGAAACTCAACTCTTCTTTCGTGTCTCACATCTCTTTATATGGATGATCTTGAACGCTCTATGCAGACCTGAAGAGTCATTATGCGGCAAACATATAAACGTGGACGAGAAGTTCACTAACGACATTAAGATGAAATTCGGTTTGGATAATGCAGGAGAGTGAAAATCATCGGGTCATATGCAATTATAAATTTGGAATCGATAATAAACCAAAGATTACCTTCAATGGACGCATGAAACTTACAATCTTGGGCTTTTCCAACAGTCACTCCGAATCAAACACACTGTTACTAAGAATAACTAACAAATGAAGTGTGTAAAACGATTGCATGGGCTCTTAAAAACTCAACTCTCTGCTAAAACTTGTGCAAGGCCATCAAAATTCATTTGTTATTCCAGTGCTGACATACTCCTTTGCGGTTATTAAAGTGAGTAATTACCGACCTCAACGACAACCTCCCAGAAGAGAACAATTCAACCGCATATGACTCAACCACGAAAACATCATCCCCATTCAAGTGACTGAGATTTTTACCCTCCAAGGTCGCAAGAGGGCGAGTATTGTAATCTCATAAATCTACACGCTCTCACATTTGCTTTCACTAGAAGATACTGCTTGGACATTGTGGAGAGTTTCAGGCAAAGTGAGCGCAGTGATAACTATATCCTCTGAACTTGAAAAAGCTTGATCCGCCTGTTCAACCATTCATTGACAAAAGAAGACTAACCTTAATGGAAAGCAAGAGGCACTGCTGGAAGGTACCTCACGGCTGAGTTAAACCAGAAGTCGACATCTCTGCGTCCGGTGGTATGGGCTCCAGCAACGGGGATCTCTTTTCGGAGACAGAAGCCTTCATGATAGCTATACAAGACCAAGTGGTACCAACATTGAACTACAGAAAACACATTCTGAAGATTCTACATTCATTCCGACTCGTGTAGAAGATGTGAGGCTGCCAGCAAACTATCCAACACGTGAAAGTGATGTTAGGCAGCCAGCACAGCGTGGAATACAAAAAGAGGCATGATGAGTGAAGCAGACACCATTATTGGCGCTGAAGAACGGGCTTACTCGCCTTCCCTGCCGTATTATAAATATGTGCTTCAGAATATGCTTGAAAGTAGTGGCACACACTCTCTGCGGATCGTTCTATATCACTGACAGAATGTCGGCGCAATAGCCAGATAAAGTACATTGATAGAAAAACCATCAGCAGTTTCCTTATGATATATCAATACCACAACATATCGGGAAAATCATAGAGAAGATCCAGAGTATACCAATCTCGCTACTGAAGTCGCAGACTCAGTGAACTTCCAGTAAAGTGACGACTGTGCTATAATAATATCAGCTAGGGTGATCCCAAATGACACTTCGGGCACTGGAGTTCTTACTTGGTCTACCAGGAATGTATATAATATGCAAAAGACAGTAATTTGAGAAACATGCCGTATTGCAGAAGCATCTAACCAGTAAAAGCAAACCACACACCTGGTCATCATAACCTGTGGTGGTGGTTGAACATACCACAGTAATACTGTGAATAATGTTATGATAATAATAATAATCATATTATATTATTATTATCATTATAACTGTAGATAAAGCGAGATAAACGCATTAAAAATCGTACCAAGAAATTCAGAATTATAATTTACTTTTAGTTACGAGATAAAAACTTTCCCCAGTGTTACACAGTAATTGTAGTCGCGCAAATGGAAAATATCAGTCTCTCCCTCATCGTTTCGACTCTTTCCCTGAACGCGGGAGACGCCAGATCTGTGCAGGATCTGCGGTCGCTTCCGATGACATACGAGGGTATGTGTTATTGCTTCCGCTTAGGGAGTTATGAAAGGTGTCACAGGAGGATCCAGCTTATTATTCTTCGGAAGTTGGGATATATTTGGTACATATATTTTGTAAATAATAAATGTATTTGTTATTATACTGTATATTATTTAGAGATTCACCAGATGAACCCTTTAAAGGAGGTAAACGTCGTTTTGAGATCAAAAATCGAGTTGTAGGATAAAAGAGCTTGATGCGTATACTCCGCTCATTCTTCCCGGTATTTGAACCCGGAAATCTTAGAAGCAATGGCTGATTAGAGCAAGGCGAAGACCTTAGAAGTAAAATATATCTAAAATAGGAAGTGAGAAACTGAAATAATGATGATATTTACAGAATTAGTTCATTTTTAAAAACCAGTTCCAAGCCGGAAATCGAAATTTTGAGTAATGCTCAACAATTTTAAGAGGTATTCGAAGAACACGAGAAACATTGAGAAAGATAGTTATGTACTATCTTACAGGCGTTTGTCTCGGTCTGTAATAGTAGTATAGATCTCTAGTTTGGTTTCTGTGGAAAAATAGATTGAGATTCAAAGCGACGAAAGATAAACGACTGTATGATTGCGTATCCCACAAGTCCGCGTCTCCTCGCCGGGGCTCCGAAGCGCCGCTGGCCTGGCCGTGCCGCCTCGCCGATAGAGGACCCACAACATTAGATGGGTAACGTAATTGCGCTGAAGGGGAGGGGCCAGGTGCTTACTCTAATTTCACTTTACGACGCTCCTATTCGTTCATTTGCATGATTGTCACTGCCGTTGGATTCAAGAAGCATGTCGCCATCGCGCTATAAGCCCCTTTTTTTAATTTGTTCTCGGAAGTTTAAGTACTAATTTCAAATTCGAATATTTGCAAAATTTTTGCGAAAAAAGGCTTCGTAGTGAAAATTCTATATTAAAAAGCCTTCAAATACCGTTTACAAATCGAAAATCGGACCATTGGTCAGACGTTATGATTAAGTAAATTTTACTTATTTTGGTGCTGCCACATGGTAGCTACAAATTGTACTAGTGTCGGTACATTTAACCTTAAAAGACTGTTCTGAAGAAGGTCTTCGTAAAATAACTCTTTGAATTTCAAGACTATATTCGCTGACATATTTTTCTAGAAAAAGCGCCTAGTTAAGATATCACTCTCTCAAAATATAGTTTTTCAACAGCCATTTTTCTTGAAGATTCAGCGTCTCTCAATCCAGGAGAAATCGCAACATCAGCTAACACTCTTAATATAATGATGGGTTTCCCTGTAGTAATTTGTTTGCGCTGTTAAGAATATCTTCTGCAGAGATCAGGACGATAATTTATGTCTCTCACAGTTCTGCATATTTCATGCAGGCGTGGGAGATGTGACTGTGCATGGAATATCACTCATTCCACGCATGCCCATCACTACAAGAGCAGTAGAACCGCCTACTACTACGCGATGGCCGCAACTGGAAGGACTCCGAATGTCATTTTACATAAGTGAGGCGATTACATGCACAAACTATAATGTAGAAAACAAAGAACAGCTACAGGATATTTGATTTGTTTTATAGGTCATTGTGTTTCACTCCAATTACTTGAAGATGAGGTAGAGACCCTTCCCATCAGCACGTTTTCCTTACTGTCTTTAACTTTTCATTGTATTATATTCTTGCGTTTTGTCTAAAAGTGTATGAATTGTTTTTAATTTTTTTACATTATATATTCATTTTTTCGCATCTTGCGCCGAGCAGTGCTCATTTGCAGGAAAAATTAGTTTACTGATATTGTTTTATATAATTAATTTTATTGAAAACATGTAATATATAATTAGTTTTATTGAAAACAGCCAGATTCGGCGTACTTTCTATGTTTTCGGTGATGTATTTATCCTAATGTATCTTATAATTTTTTTGTTTTTGTTTTTGTGTTATTATTCGACATCAATTTTTTATAATGTATGTTGTTTTCATGCTCTGACATTGTTCATACTCTGTACATCTGTAGGCCTAATGGATAAATTATACATATATATATATATATATATATATATATATATATTATATTATATATATATATATATTGGTTTCTCTAAGGCATTGACCGATTCCTGAAAACCAATTGTAGATTCTTTTTATCCTCTATTAATTAATTATATATATTTTATATATATATATATATATATATATCGATGGGTTGTCGATTTATTAAAGATAATGGTACCAATGATTGTACAATGTATTTTTAACTTTCTCTTTGTCGTTGGCATGAAAAGAGGAAGTATTGTATTCGTGCGCCGGAATTGCGCGCAAATATTCGACACGATAACTCCTATTGCCAGGCCCTGGTAAAGAAAAGGTAATATATCCATTTGCTAAATATAGGGGAAAACCTCTGACACGTGATATTGGGTGTCCTTGAATTTGAAACCGATATTTTAATTTTGGTGGTATTTTACAAAGAGCTACTTGAACATTTTCATAATTTTCAAAAAATTGCTCTAAATTTTTCGATTACATTTTGTTGTTGAATAGTACAAATGTCGTTTAAGACAATGGTTCAGGTCTCATTTTCTTTGACTCTCCCTATTTTTCGAAAATTGAAAAAAAATTTTAAACTTCAAAATTTGAGACAGATTTTTTGTCGGATTTCATGTCTCAGACATTGTACAAAATTAACACGTCAAAAAGGTCATCTACAATTTTTTGCGTAACCAAGTAATTTTGACGTATTTTGTGATTGAAATTTACAAAAGAAATCTCAAAATACACTTTAATTTTTTTTAAATTTGCTTCACATATGTTATAAGACGCGATAAAAGTATTGTGGTAGTCCTATTTCCGGTTTTGGTTGAGTTTTTTGAAAATATGGGCTGAAATTCGGAAAAGAATACAACAATGTCAATAAAATAGATGGGAAATCAAAAACAAAACTTCAATTTTTAATAAAGTAAATACAACACTTTTATGGGTATTATAAATATTTGTTAGCAGTATAGAGATTTTTTTTATGTACAACTTTTTTTCAATACTTACCTTTTTATGGCTGAAGGGTGTTTATTTTTTCTTTCCTGTTCTGCGTACACTGGAAATAAATAATATAAAGGTTTCTGGATTTTTTCGAGTTCCTGAGCATCTAACGCAACTAGTTACCAATCAAAAGTCGTAGGCTATGTAGTTTTCTTACAATTTCTGCGCGCATTAGAAAATACCAATATATATATTTCAAGTATATATATTTTAACAGTAGTTTATAACATGTATAACTCTCAACACGGCAACAAGCTAAATGAATGAACATTATTACTATTAATATCAACAGTATAAAATTCCTGCTCTCAACGTTATATTAAAAGACGTTTAACATCATATTGACATCGGAAATATTCCGAATATTGCAGTTCAGTAACATATTTCTGGACATCACAATCATTTTTATTTTCAATAATACAAGTACAGTTAGTGAATAACAAGTGATATTAGATTCACTCAGAAAAATATTGTCTGTGTCACAAAATTACAAGAAAGTTACTTTCTCTCCAAAAGTGTCGATTTGGCCATTATCAGTTCAGATCATACCCTAACACTCCTCAAAAACAGGCAGCATGTGCGTCAAAAGCAATAGTAGAATGCTGGGATCTTGGCAACTTATTGTTTATGCGTTCACATAATTTATTTTCTTTGGTATTTGTAATTAGTTTCCTGAGCGTCAGACTAACCTCACTTCCTGACGATCGAGTTGTATCATCAATTCATCTAAACGAATAGATTGTCTCTCGTTTTTATGGGTATCTAAAGAGTAAATATACTGAACCATTTGGAATCAGTAAACCATGTTTTTAACAAAATTTCGTCCTTCTATTGTAAAATAAACCTAAAACTAAAGTAGACTTTATCAGTTCATTTAGAAGTTGTTTCATTGTAGTATGCATTTTACTTCACTTTGTGACCCGAGTGAACTTCAAAGGTACGCCGTCACGAGGAGAAATTAGAAAGCTGTGAAGATTGAATTCCATTTTTTTAGGCGTTGATGCACAAGGGTGAATTCGGTAGTTGAGTATAATATGGGCAATTCCCAGTTTTCCTTGCAAGTACCCAAGGCGAAGACCTGTAACAAAGGAAATTATCACATTCAAAAAGAAGAATAGAAAGAAAATGATAGCGTTTAGCATGACAGGGATCGTTTTTCGACTTTATTCCTTAAGTGGCATGACAGAAATAGTTTCAAATCCTAAATACATGGTTATATTTGTTTCTTTTAATGACATTTACGGCTCTTTTACTGCTATTGTAATTGGACGCCAGGGATGAGATTGAAATCCAGTTCGCGCGTGGTCCGTTGTATGGATGTATGGTTACCAAACCTTACCAGATTTTCTTTTCCCCGGAGTTGTCCTCTTTGTGGTCAGAAAAACTGTACGAATGAATTTTACAAGAAAGAACAAAATGTCCTTTTCATATTGAAATAGGGCTATTATTTTTAAATATATTAAAACGTGTGATCAACGAAAGATACAACACTTTGTTCAACTTTTTTGAGTCCCCAACATAAGAACATTTCATTATTTAAAAATATGATATTTAACCAAAAATATCACTCTCAACAATCATCAAAATTCATACATCCACTACAGCTATAATTATATTGTTTTCTCCATGAAGTGCGACAGTGCTCTGAGGTGTTAATACTATTTTCTTAGCAGTTGGAGTTCATATTACTCAGTGGTGTTTATATTTCGAGCAAGGTGCCAAAAAGAAAAGAAAAGCTTTTATTAATGGCATACTTAGAAGTTTACAGCGTTTGTTGCAAGGTTCCAAGCAAAGTTTTAATTGTTGAGGACTTCATCATTTACCAAATATTTTTGGTAAAAAAGTGGAAAACCCGGGAATAATAATGAAGTAGGGATATCGTGTGATTGTAAAACTGATGACAGTGTTTGAAGAACTAAGTCAATAAGTCAATGTCTTAAAAAAATAATTATTAAAAACACTTTATATGAATTTTCATATTTTTTATTAGAAATGTCTTTTTTCTTCATTATGAAAGTATGGTAACCATATAAGAAGGATTGATGCCCCGGCATACGTCCGTAAGTAATCAAGAAAATCATGTATCACTGACCAGAACCGCTGACTTTCCAATTGGTTTCCAGCGATTCGCCACACACCCACTGAGGATTAACTCATCTAGGAAATTTACAGCGTCGATTTGGGATCGAACACATCAAATTCTAATCGCCAGTCCACTCGACGGAAACAGGCCACATCACAATTAACCGCAAGCCGAAAAGATAACGTTAACGGGAACATAAAGTTCAAAGATCGGCTGATATTCTCTACAGCTCGGGACGGCCTATATTGTGGCCGGGAACGTGAATATTTTCTAACGAAGGAAAAAGGCAGGTGGAGGGAAAGATTTTGAAGCTGTTTGAATTGGCGACACTGAAATAGAGCGGAGAGCAAAATAAGTTATTGAGATTGAAGAGTAGATTTGTGAAAAAAAACCATCCAGGATAAAAGGAAATCAATGATATGGAACACAAATATAATAATTAAATATCACTGTAGCTACGAAAATATGAAAAACCGACGAGACACTAATGGGACAGATTCAAGATTTAAACATTTACGAATGAGGCAAACGAATGAAGATTACACTTCGAAAGCAATGCGAAGTAAAGCCAGAAATGCATTTTGCTGTTTACCTGCGTGACGATGCACGTAGGTTAGTATCAAATCCAAGAGCATTCATAGCAGCGCAGCTAGGTGTGCATTATAGCATTACGCTTGTAACGATTTTGATCGCAATAAAATCTGCTAGATGGCAGCGCAGATTTTCGCTCGTGTCGACGTCACGAGCAAAAAGCCCGGGCGCTAAAAAAATTGAGAGTCTGACTCATAGTGGTTGTGGCTCAGCCAATCGTAAATCGCAAATTAAAATATGCCGTGAAGTTGAAACGTCTAAACGAGGAGTGCAAAGTATGCGAAAAAATGAGAGGAAAGTACAGTTTATCTTGGAAGGGTGGGGTGGAAATAACTAGACAATTTTGAATATCTTCAGCAAATTCGCCAAGTAAATGAAACTTTCAGGCAAAAATAAATATTATTTTTAAAAAATGAGTAGTGTTCATTGAAAAAGAGGTAATATGATTATCATCTACAGTTTAGAAACTCAATATAAGCCTGAAAGATACGGTTCTTCATGTGTCTTGCTTACATAGTTCCGAAACGCTATGCTATATCTCATGTCATCTAATCCTGCTTCAAGAGACAAGGCGGAATCAAGCTATAGATTGTTTGATCAGTGATTTCGGGCGCGTCAACTGCTAAAGTCATTTGTCTCTTAATGGCAGTGTGTTCCTCAAGAGGTGGCGATGGTCGTCCCTCACTGTGTAGCGATATCCGGCGCTCAGCTGCCGTCGGCTACAGGGTTTCCCCATCCAGGTATCTCCCGACAGTGAGGTACCGCCCCACCCCTGACAAGCTCTATGCTCCGGACCGATCTCCCGACAAGTTTGGTAGTGTAGTGCATGTTATTACACGTGTGTGCGTGATAGGAGTGATGATAGGCCAAGGATGAGGAAGGTAAGATTGCGCGCGGTTCGTAGCCCTTTGTTTAGGGTACTGCTCTGCCATTCGCCTGGAAAAGCTTCGGGAAACTACTGATCAGAGAAGCCGGCCACTAGTATTCGTATCCAGACATCCTCTGAATTTGACCTAGCAGTTAAGCTAGTGTTGTAAATCGTAGAACCTCCTGCTCAGTGATACTGCAGTGAAGTCGGGACTTGAAATACCAGGCGAATACTGGAGCAGAACCCAAACAAACGGGCCACGGACTGCGCGCGATCATTCCTACCTCCTTGTCTTATCATTACCCTTTACGTTCACACACATACACTAAATAGCATTACACTACCTCATATATTGAGAGCGTGTTCAAACGTTTAGAGTTTGTCCTGGTTGGGGTGGTGACCCGCTAGTGGAAGACCCCGCTAGCCGTCAGTAGGTCGACGCTGGTTCTCACCATCTAACGGAAAAAAACATTCCCGCCACCTCCAGAGGAAATAACTTGCACTACACTTACGGTAACGATGACGTTGGGAACTGACGCGGCTGGAATCACTAATCAATCATTCAGGATTCGAATCCGAAACCGCTCGCTGAGCTGTCACTGGCCTGTTATACGCGGTGAGATATGTAGCATATGCATGCGAGTTCTTACCTACGCATTTGTGGGGCCCCTCCCCGAAGGGCATGAAGCAGCAGCTGGGGATGTTACGTCTGTTGGCGTCGGAGAACCTCTCCGGATCGAAGCGCTCGGGCTCTGGGAAGTACTGCGGGTCCCTCTGGATGCCGAGGATGCTGGTGAAGGCGAACACGCCCTTGTCCAGGACGATGTCGGTGCCCGGCACGCGGTACGTTTTGGTGCACGTGCGGTCCAGGAAGGGTAAGACCGGGTACTTCCGAAGGGTTTCTGCGAATACGAAATTCGGTTAATAACATTCCCATAAAATATGATGTACTCTAGATAATGTCCTCTTCATGAAAAAAGCAACAGTGTCTATGCACACAGAAAGTAGTATTATGGAAAAACTATGAAGAAATTTAACTCCTACAAAGGTTGCCTTTTATGTTTCGGGATTTGGCAACCCTGGTGTTGCAATCTGGCAACTGACAGCTCTATCGTAAAGTTGGATGTTTTGAGGTTATACGTACTCATAAAGCCTGTTTTGACATACGAGCGCTATTTGTGTTGTGTACAGAAACTTAAAAGATTCATCTTGGCCCAAAAATGGAATTAAATCGTGAACATTTTCGTGCGGTGTATTGATACAATTTTCGACGTGGATTACCTCAGCAACAGTGCATGGATGAACTTAATTCAATTTTAGGCGATGATGCTCCATCAAGGACCAGTGTTTATCGATGGTATGGTGAATTCAATCGTGGTCGTAGTTCACTCCAAGACGAATTTCGCGAAGGTCGTCCAAAATCAGTTGTTGTTCCCCAAACCATTGATGCTGTGCGTGAACTGATATTGCAAGATTGTCATGTGATCTATCGTGAGATTGAGACAATCTTAGACATTAGTGAGACCAGCATACATTCAATGATGCATGAGCATTTTTCTGTCAAAAAAATTTGTTCGCGTTGGATCCCACACAATTTGTCAATCGCTCAAAAAAAGGCTCGTGTAGATTGGTCGAAAGAAATGCTAAAAAAATACGATCGCGGGGCTCGAAACACGTCAATGACTTCGTGATAGGTGATCAATCGTGGATTTACGCGCATAAGCCCGAAAGTAAACAGCAGTCGACTGTATGGATGTATGAAGATGAGCAAAATCCAACAAAAGTTTTTCGCGCACGAAACACTTCCAGACAGTCGCCTGTTTTTTAAAAAAAAACTGGTCATGTCGCAACCGTACCACTAGAACAACGCAGAACAGTCAATTCTGAGTGGCACACAACAATTTGTTTGCCAGTTGTTCTCCAAAAAATCACGAAAATCAACCGCCGAAGACGGATTACTCATCACCTCGACAATGCGAGCTCTCACACATCGGCTCAAATAACTGCATTTTTGAGCACTCAAAACATCGATTTGATGAGTCCATCAGCGTATAAGTTCTTGACTTGGCACTGAATGACTTCTTTTTAATTCCCGTACGGTAAAAAACAAACTCAGAGGTCAACTTTTCTTTTGTTGAGCCGAGCCGCGTGAAGAAGCGGGTTGCTGGCATTCAAAGCAGGTTTTGAGATACGGTCCAATCAGAGGTGGCCAAAGTGTTTCGACAATTGGTTCAAACGCATGCAAACGTGTATATATCTTCATGAGGAATATTTTGAAAATAAATTAAGTGATTTCGATGATTAATATTTGTTTAATTTGTGAAATATAGAAGGCAACCCTCTGAATGAGGTCCTATTTTTCTAGGATTGAAAATAAATTGATTCATTACTTACCTGAGAAAATCATATCAAGTAATCCACACTCTTGTATAGCTGATAGTAGAGTTCCTCCATGCGTGTTTTGCGATTTGGGTCTCTTTGAGCAGCGTTCGCAGTTGGCTCTTGTAAATGTCTTCATCTCATGGCCAGTTCATACAGAGCATAGCTCATGGTTGTGGATGTCGTGTCAAAACCAGCTGCGAGAATGCTGAATGCTTGGGCCACGAGTATGTCACCATCCATATCTAGGAAACAGTTAATCGTTGTAAAGCAATAAAGACATATTTTCTCTAGAAGATAAATCTTCACTTACGAACAACGAGAGGTGAGTGAAGTATATTTCTTGAGTAGATAGATTTTCTGGAGCATTTTTAACAATTTCTGCAATTTCTGATTTAATTTGTTTGAATATGTTTTAATAACATACAATGTTATGAGGAAAACACTTACGATGCCTTACGTAAGTACACTAGAATATTTCAGGTCGATATTATACAAATTGAGAGTAATATTTTAGGCACATTCTAGGGGGTAAGACGGGAAGGAAGGATAAGAGGTATGAGTGGTAGGGGGTACGACGTAGAGGTTATTGAATGAGGAAGGGAGTGGGAGGAGTAGGAGGGATAGAGGGAGGAGAAAGGCGGTGTAGGACAAGAGGGTGTTGATGGAAGAAGGTAGGAGAGAAAGGGTTTAGAAGGGGAGGAGAATGGGGAAGGAGAGATAGATAGAATGGAGAAGGAAGGCTTGGGGAGGGGTTACGATCGGGAGAGTGTAGAATGGGAAGGAGGTGGAGGGTTTGGAAAGGGAGAGGGTAGGAGAGGTTGGGAAGGAGGGAAGAGAGTGTTAGGGGTGAGGTAGAAGAGATATGGTTTGGAGAGGTTAGGTGTATGGAAAGAGGGGCTGCAGGCTGGAGGGAGGGAGCAAGCAAAGAAACCAAGCCCAGACGGGCGTGGGCGCGGCGGCCACTCACAGATGGCGGCACTGGTGTCCGGGGTGGCCTTGGCTTCACCGTCGTCGTCGTCGTCGCCGTCGTCGACGGCGATGCGGCCCTTATCGCGCAGCTCCAGCAGCAGGTCGAGGAAGTCGCCGCGTTCGCCCTGGGAGCCCCGGCTCAGGCGCTCGCGCGCCGCCGCCCACACGTTGTGCCTCAAGAACTCCGTCAGCGGCGCCGGCACCAGCGACACCTTCAGCAGATGCAGCAGCGGAACGTCCACGAACGTCGCCACCGACTGCAAAAAAAAAGTCCGCATTTTATTTACTTTTTTAACTCGACAATCCATATTTGCAGGTCCTTGAACGTCGCCACAGACTGCAAAAAAAAGTCCGCATTTTATTTACTTTTTTATCCCTTCCATCTATGTTCGCATGTCCATGAACGTCGCCACTGACTGCAACATACAGCTCAGTTTTACTGAAATTTATTTACTTCATTAACATGGGGTAAACTGCGTTGGAGATGTTCCAGACGTGCGTCTTACCACAAGCGTGAAGATCTTGCTGTAGACGAAAATTCTCCGCAACAGCCTGTGCAGCGGATCGTCATCGTCCGTGAGGGCGGTCGTCTCGATGCCGAAGCCCACAGTGGCGATGGCGTCCATTGTGTAGCGGGCACACGCGTTCGCCACGTCACACGGCGCTCCTATATGGCGACAAGAAGCAATGGCCTTGGTCGTAGTTCATTTACCTATTTATTACATATTTGTTAATTGTTTTTAGCATATAAAATATCCTTGACTACAATTCATGTGCAAATGTTCCAGAAATGAATCGAAATACTTGATATTTGTGCGCGCTTTAAGAATTCCATTTCGAAATCAATTAAGATTGTTTAAGCTCCAACTTAAAAGTCTGAAAAATAATCTAAATTTCTCAAAATATAATAGATCAGGAAAATTTAATAATGTCCATTTCGTCACACTTTTATTTCCTAATTAATAAACAGGCCCGTACGTATATCCTTTGATTCACAATAATTTTTCATGAAGGCGGTTTATTGATCTGGTCATTTATTATAGTTAATTTAACATTATTATAGTTAAAATAGCAGTTAATATTCTCGAATGTTTCATGAAAAAGACTGGAGAATTGTTTGAGCTGCACAATTTGACCTCACTGTACCTGTTGCTTTCGTGTTCATCCTCAACACAAGATAACAAAAATAAGATTTCTACTCAGTTTTATTCACCTCTGATATCTAGATCACAACGTATTTGAATATAATGAACTAATAAGACAAGTATTAAAGTTAACATAATTAAATTAATTAATTTAGTATTCGCGTCTAACAAAACTATCATCTCTACAAAAAAATTAAAAAACATTTTTGTTAGCACTCATGTTTCAACCTCGTAATTGAGACATACTCCTCTACACAATAAACACTTATTATTGGTTAGAGTTACATTTTAGTAAAACATTATTTTTTCCAATAAAATTTAAAACTGCATTTTTTAATCATCTTTTAACAGATTTTTACATCATTAAGTATATTTATTCCACCTACAATTATACGTATACTTCACACGCGTATATATACATTCCTCTATATACAATTCTTTAATGCAAATAGTATATTTACCCGATTTCACAACGTCATCAAAATAATGGTCGAAGTTGGCAGCCTTTTGCTCTAGTAGAATATAAAATTTTCTTATTTTACCAAGAGTAAATGCTGGACTTAGCTTGGTTCGAAGTTGTTTCCATTTCTTGCCTGAAAATTTGGAGGAAGTTACTCGCTTGTTTTTAAAAAGATCCTCTGATTGACATGACAATACATTAAAATCATTTTGGGATTTTCTGACATTCTGTAGATATAAGATATTATTGAAATAACAATTTTTCAAATACAAAAGTATCTTACCCTTTGTTCCAAACAGTGTCTCTGAAAATATTCCTACAGATTGAAGTGGTGCAAAGCCTCTGTCTTCAAAATGGTCGCAATCTTTTATTACGATTGTTTTCCACAGTTCAATATCTTTTACAAACAGCACCGGTTGATCGAAGAAAAACATTCCCACATATGGTTGGTCTTTCATTCTATAAAGTGTAATGAAGACATCAATAAAAACTAGAGAAACACCTCAATTACAATTAATTTACCCTTGGAAGTAAACACTTGCCAATGAAAACTCTCAGTGTCGTCAGTGAAGTGTAAATACCCTACCAGTTAAAACCGTCACTGTCAATTGACAATAGTAAAACACAAGCTGCCATGTACGAAAAGTAATATTTCAGTAAAATACCTTGGTGCTCTCTTTGATAAAAACTAACATGGTCATGTCAGATTCAAGGAATAGTTAATGAAACATACACTAAAATTTCAATATTATATCCACCAATAAAATTCTAATCTATTAATATAGAAGTTAGTACACTAATACATAAATCAATAATTAATTGTCTCTGATTTATGCCTACCCCATCTGATGCAACACTGTCCCACCCCATTTAAAAAAATTACAAATAATAGAAAAAAATAACTTCGTAGAATTATTAAAACTCATTCGTTTATTCCAAAGACACAGTTTCGTAAAGAATAACAAATTGAATCTCTTGGCCAATATGCCATTCCGATTAGGTAAAACAAAAACAAAGTTGCCGCAAAGCAAAATTACGTATATTTGTATAATTCTTTACATCATGAATGAAGGTTACTAATCTGACGACTTCGGGATCATCCCAAACTGTTATAAAAATTATGTAGAGACTCGCTGTTGAACATTAATATTAAACGGGACGGATATATATTTGAAAAAAAAAACAACCTTAGGTGGGTCATAGGCCGATCAGATGGACACGATTGCTACGGCAGTAGTGCTGAAGAGGTCTCAGGCTAGAAGATCGCGGATTCGAGTGGTGCCTCGGCCAAGTGGTTTTTGTGTACGTCTGTATGTGTTGTTCTTTCACCTCTCACTACCATCATTTCATCTTCCATGCCGCCTGGGCAGACAACCCAGAAGGTAACAATCGGATCTAGCGAAATGTTGATTCTATGATAAAATTACATGCACCGACGATCTAGATAAGTCGGCATATTCGCGAGCAAAAAAATAGGTCGGGCATTGATGTAATGTGGGGAACATTTAAATTCCGTGGACAGCGCGCGCTCTATTTGAGACAGACGGATGAGGATATAATTTCAATTATAATTTCAATTTTCTATTTGAATTTTATAATTTCAATTATTTCTCGTGGCGCACTACTTTCAGCGGACGAGGACATCACAAAAGGAAGCGTCGAAGCCATTTACAAGTTAGCCAACTTCCAACGAATGAATGGAGACAGGAGAGTCTAATGGGCTCAATGACACAACCGCAGAACCTCCATGTTTCATCCATCACTCAATTGTAATCACACTTTTATGACCACACCTAACTCTATTACAATTAGCTATTCTTGCAAGCTTAAAGAAATTCTGGAGTTATGTTACGGCAAATGTTAGAATCTACTTAGTTTGCGAACTTGTCGGTTAATATAATTGTAAGGCCTAAGAACCTGTTTAAAGACATTGTTGTCTCGGCAGAATGATGGTTAGAGCAACTGGGGTAATTCAGAGACCCAGGTTCGAATTCCGGTAAGGGTGACAATTCTTTGAACAAATTTAGGCGGTTAATGTTTACGTTATCTAAAACGGGTGGATAAAGTTCTATGCAATAGCTTCGAACATAACCACGGGTTTAATGTTTTTAATAAATATGATTTAATTCTAATTTTACATAACGCCGAAGAATTACAAGCACAAAGGGATATAAAACATCATTGCAGACGAAATATTCTCTAGAAAACTGAATGATTTGGTGTCATTTAGACACTTTAAAAATGCAGAAGCTAATTATTTATATTTGCGTCTAGCCGCCAAGTGTGAGTTAATTTGGTTGCCTATGTTTAAACAGATTCGTGGCTAGGTCTTGGTCTGCGCGCTCCCTTTCCACCACGCGACCCTGGGTTCGGTACCCGGTAGAGCCAAGACTATAGTGTGCGTTTGCAATGTCCCAGTGTATGTTGCTGTGTGATGATAAAATTAACTTCTAAGGTTCAGAAGCCCGGAATACGGCGTGGGAAGGTCTACGTGCTAACCACATGTACCCCCTTGACCCATGGCCGCGAGGCTGGGACGCCGCCAGTACGCCTGAGCCCGTTTACGGGCTGTCGCGCCAAGAACATACATACATGTGTGAAGAAAAAGACGCACAGCCTTGTTGCAAACTCACTGCGTGTAGACATCGCGGAGAACCACACCGAATGGCTTCCGAAAGAGCAGCACGTCCTTAAGGTTTCCAGCGATGGGCAGCGGGCGCAGGTACGGCACGCCGCGGCGGCGCCAGTAGCCAAAATGGCGCGTGAAGTAGGCGTAGAGGGCGCCCGCCACGCCCACCAGGAGCGCCACCAGCACCGCCGCGCCCGTCGACAGACTCATCATATTCGCTCACCTATTCTTCGCTTCGTATGAATACGTTCGTGTACCTTCGCCAGTGTTCGGACGCTACAGCCTTCACACGATGAATCTCGGATAAGCTGGGTTTCCAATCAACTTCCCGGTGGATTTCGGCTTCATTAGGATGCAGTCGCAGCATCTGGGGATTTCGTTTCCTTACGGCTCACACGTGCCACTGCTGAAAACAATGCACAACAAATTTAAATGGATGAAATACAACATCCATACAAAACTAGCGGTGTAAAAGAATAGCACAGATATTCTCGTAATATTTAGTTTTACTAGATAGTACGATTTATTACGTACTATTTAATTTCCTTAAGGGTATGCATTAACGTGACAGCAGTGATTCTTATCGGGAAAGCCTCGGGTTCAAGTCCCGGTGGTGACCGAATTTTCGAAACTAGCTACATAGATAGGTCTTTAATGGAAATAGTAGTCGCGAATAGAGGTTTCACCCAACGCCTAGTGAGGGGAAGTCGCCCCGCGAATGAAGACGTGACGCGGTTATATTGAAGAAAAAAATCCGGGTTAAGGGTACCCAAAAATGTGTATTTCCGTTGAAATCTAGAAATTAATTTTCAGCAGCAGCACTTAACTTTCGTAATACTATGCATATTACCCTGTATATACGTATGCGTGGTAGACGACAAAGTAATAGTGTATATTTACGTTATCTGTCAATTGATTGTGGGTGTCGAAAGTTTCGGACCCAAGGTCTGGGATTGCGCATCAGTCACAGACGTATTTTTAGGAGAGTTTCTTAACTTTTCCTGATCACTCAATTTGATTCAGCTCTACAACACAAAACTTACTTAAAATAATAACCCATTGTCAAAAACAATTGCATTGAAAGCTCATTATCAAGAGTGTGGATTCTTGTATTTTTTTAAAATTAGCCGCCATCACATCCTTCAGGGAATAGTAAAGATGTGAAAACAAACATCTATTTGCACAATCTCCTTGACTCATATGCGAAATTAGCTTCGTTTCATGTGAAATGCTCCCACGCTACCAACAAACTTTCTTAGCAACAGAAGTTCAGGAAATTGAAATGAGGAAAACTGCAACTATGCTAGAAAGAGAAAAATGCTTTTATGCGCGTGTTTAATAACACTTTGAAGATGCAGATTGTGATTTAATGTGCAGATAATGACAGCTACCTTACTAAGAAACAATACGTACGATTTAAAAATTTAGTAATCTATTTATTCTAGTGTGGGTTTTGATTCACGTTTTAATGTTTTTTTATTGTACTAGAAAACTGATGATGATGGCTAAGCCATCGAAAGCTGCTATTGTAATAAACTATATTGTTAGCAATTACGACTCATAATTATATCATTGCTTCGACGACACTCATTCGCGCCCCATTGCGTTATATTACCATTCTTATACACACATTTTTATTCTCTATTCAATATTTCATCTTTCTTTTCAATTTTATATTATGATGGGTCAACGCGTGTGATTGACGTAAATATGACCATGATTCACGTTCACATTTCTAATACAGTAATTAGAAGGTGTAATTCTAGTTAAAGTAATGGAGTAATTCTACACTGTAGTTACACTTCAAGTTAAACTTCATTAATAAGCAGATCAGAATTGCTGAAAGACACAGAAAAGCAATTCTAAAACTGATGAATAAGAAAACTTGAAGAGATTGGGTAGAACCGGTGTATTAATTTATAGAAAACGGTTTAAGCTAATCAGGTAGTTGTGCGTAGCGGACAAAAAAGGCCGCTTTAGAACGAATTGTCGCAATCAAAAGGCCAGGCGTGCGAATAATAATAGTTTAAGTGAGGTCAAAACAACTCACGAGATGTTTACAAGCATGAAAATATTTTTGGACTCCGGTTGAAATTGAATATGGAAAGTAACTACGCTAATAGAAGTCTGTATTATTAAAGTAATAATGACGATTTGAACATTTATGACGTGAAATTTATTAGGCCTAGAAGTAGTAATTTGATTGTATTTGTTTAAAAACATGTTCAGAACTTTGAGAAAAGTTTACCTCCCGGACACAATTTGTGGATCCTTAAAATGGTTTCGGCCTGAGAAAGCTTATTATGAATGTTGAAAAAGTAAATCTCTAAAAACGATTTAAACGCTTAAGACACATGGTGAATTTCAGTATTTTTCGTAATATAACTTTATTATCAATTATTTTCTGGTAGTAACTATGATTACAAAGTACATCGCATTGGAGCAATTTTAATTAGTATTTTACTGTTAATATTGTATAATGCATAATTTTCATGAGATATTGGATTGTATGGCTACTCTCTTATGTGTGTCAAACAATATTTCTAAGATTATTGTAGAGGCATTTGGTAATGTCACGTGGACTGATGATTGGGCTTATTTGTACAAAACCAGCATTAAACTGTTATTATTAATAAGCAAACGACCAAGTAATATTTTTCCTTCTAAAACAAAAATTAACATTTTATGTTCGTTATTATTAGTAAGAACGTTAAACCAAGGTTGAACAAGTTTTTAGATTATGATGGAGAATCTATTTTTTAGTACTGATCAAGTAATTATAGCAATACGGTCAATGAACTATTACATGTTACAAGTGATTACCGGCAAATTGTAGCAAAAGCTGCTCAACCATTGATGAATATTTTAAACATTCGAATACAACAATAATATTAAAGAAATTCACTGCAAAATAAAAACGTTTTATAAGATATTTTTCCATAGATAGCATTACAAATCAGATATAGAACTTTGCGCACATTTTATCAGAAATTTAAGTACCCGCTATGATTATTCTATTCAATTTATATTTCACTTAGAAGATGCTTATTCATTGACATTTGTACGTTTTTGAATCAAATGAACATCGTACGGAAATAACAACTTTGTTGTTTTGACAACTTTATAGCAGGTATAGTCTTCAGATGCTCAGGTAACACAAGTCTAAATGTTTCACTAACAATTGTCCTCTCTCATGCACATATATTAACTCTTAACCCTTCTTCTTCACTCTGTACCTGCCATGGATCTGACAATTTTATTCCTTAACGTGCATTATTTTAATGTATAAAAATAAATGTTTAAGTGCATCATGTTCCTAATAAGCCTTCAACATTTTTAAAACAATTCTTTAAACTTCCACACATTATAAAGTAGTACCACTATATTTTAATGCTACTTTAATGTTGAATGCAGTTTTGAATAAATGTACATAATAATATTACTGATAACAGTAAATGCAGTAATTTCAAATGCAAAAGAAGTCAACACATTATGCATGAACTCTCATGAGTTGTTAGTGTCAATATCTCTATTCTAGTTATTATGTCGTGTAGGCTTAAAGGTAGGAGCACGGTATCCGACACCCACCTGGTTGAAGAGGTGGGCACGGCTTGAGGTGTTGACGCAGCGCCTGTAGGTACAACGAGTGACGCTCGCCGCTGCGGTCGCCCGTACTACAAGGTCTCTCAAGCGCTCCCCGCCCCTGCCTCGAGGCTACAACACGAAAGTCTCCGCGCGTACTCGTGACAGCACGGAATAATAATGTTGTACCAGTCCTGGAGCAGTGCATGATTCTACAGTATTCTATTCCTGTCTGCTGCGTGGAAAACATGGAAGTAATGAATATCCTCACTCATTTCTTTTTATTTACGGAAGACTGGTTTCTTAAGTAGAAACCTCTTCTTCATCCGGTGGCTAATCCCGTCTGTACGTGTGTGTGTGTGTGTGTGCAAGAGGGCTATGGTCATTTAGCCAAAAAAAAATTATTTTACTAAATTTTCTAAAACTAATCACATTATAGAAGTTTCAGTATACTTTCTTCTTATGGACATATTCGTACTTTTTTATTTAATTATAACAATTAAAATAAATATTTCCAAATATTTATGCTGAGGTGAACTGAACTTTTCACCCCACTTCTTGAAATACTTTTCTTATTCGTTTTTTTATAATTTCTATTGAAAAGGAAAAAAAAAGTATCAAGAAGTTTCTAGAACCATCATAAATCTAATAGAAAGGGGTTTTGGTTTGGGAGAGAAAATAGTTTCTGCCGTGGCCCTCTTTCAAGCATTGAGGCAAATGTAGTTTTGAGCAACGTAGCTAATTAACGTAATAGAGCGGAATAGATTTGAAGTGCCTTAATAGTTTCCAACGGAAGGTTCTCCCATATTGGATCTGGAAATCTGCTCCTCACTCTTTATTATGTTGATTTTTATGAAGTTTGATTCTATTCTGATGCTCCACAAACCACACCTGAATCGTTTTTCATGTATTTAGACGCATTATTATCTTGAAATTGGGCAGTGTATGGCAACAATATGCTAGTCACGAAAGCTCTACATTGTTGAGAATTTCGAGTTATTTATTTGCAGTAATTCGGCCAGTGAGAATAGTGATAGGACCAGCTAAATATCACGAAATAGCCGCCCAAACCATATAGAAACTTCTCTCGTTCTTTCTCTAGCAAGCAATCTGCTCGGATGGTAGGTTTGTTTTGGACGTCTCCGTACTAAACCCGTCCATTTGTTAGAAACCAACATCGGAACATACTACCACCTTCTAATCATGAAGTGTCTAAGTTTTGTGATCGTGGTACCAATTCTTTCGCAGCTTTGCGTTGACTTTCTTTATAAAGGGTTTCCCAATTGCAGCACTCCAATGAATGCTAGCGCTGTAAAGTATTCTCCATACTGTTTTTGCAGAAACACAGAAGTGAAAGGGAGTTCTGCAGTCACTTTTACAGCGGTATTTTACGTTGTCTGGCCACAATTCTTGTAATGTTCGTTGGTTACTCTCAGTTAACTTCGGATTTCGCCCACTATTGCTCTTCTCCGATGATGTTTTATCATGTTTAGTGTATACCGTCATTAACGTAGACTTTGCACCTGTGACACGTTAGAAGTTTCAGTCTTTTTCATCACTGATGCTCCTTCTTAACGTGCTCCTGCGATTTGCTGACTTTGGAAGTCTGGGAGATCACACATTTCATCGAT